GACTAATCTTTTCCTTGTATCCTGTTCTCTTCATTCTCCCTTGCTCCCGAAGGGATGAGACCAGTGGAGTATCTTAGATGGCTGCTCACAGGCTTTTAAGGCCCCAGACACTACTCACCAAGGTAGAATGTAGAACATTGTCTTTATCAACTGTGTTACGCCAATTGAGCTAGATGTTCCCCGAGACCATGGTCCCCAGTTGTGAGGATTTTTGTTTTCTTTATGTTGAGGTGTAATCCATACTGAAGACTGTAGTCCTTGATCTTCATCAGTAGGTGCTTCAAATCGTCTTCACTTTCAGCAAGCAAGGTTGTGTCATCTGTACAACACAGGTTATTAATGAGTCTTCCTCCAATCCTGATGCCCCATTCTTCTTCCTGTAGTCCAGCTTCTCAGATTATTTGCTCAGCATACAGACTGAATAAGTATGGTGAAAGGATACAACCCCGATGCACACCTTTCCTGACTTTAAACCACACAGTATCCCCTTGTTCTGTTCGAAGGACTGCCTCTTGATCTATGTACAGGTTCCTCATGAGCACAATTAAGTGTTCTGGAATTCCCGTACTTTGCAGTGTTATCCATAATTTGTTATGATCCACACAGTCGAATGCCTTTGCATAGTCAAACACAGGTAAACATCTTTCTGGTATTCTCTGCTTTCAGCCAAGATCCATCTGACATCAGCAGTGATATAACTTGTTCCAAGTCCTCTTCTGAATCCAGCTTGAATTTCTGGCAGTTCCCTGTTGATATACTGCTGCAACCACTTTTGAATGATCTTCAGCAAAGTTTTACTTGTGTGTGATATTAATGATATTGTTAGATAATTTCCGCATTCAGTTGGATCACCTTTCTTCTGAATGGGCACAAAAATGGATCTCTTCCAGTCGGTTGGCCAGGTAGCTGTCTTCCAAATTTCTTGGCATAGACGAGTGAGCACCTCCAGTGCTGCATCCGTTTGTTGAAACATCTCAACTGGTATTCCAACAATTCCTGAAGCCTTGTTTTTCACCAATGTCTTCAGTGCAGCTTGGACTTCTTCCTTCAGTACCATCAGCTCCTGATCATATGCTGCCTCCTGAAATAGGTGGACGTCAACCAGTTCTTTTGGGTATAGTGACTCTGTATATTCCTTCCATCTTCTTTTGATGCTTCTTGCGTCATTTAATATTTTCCCCATAGAGTGCTTCAATATTGCAACTTGAGGCTTGAATTTTTTCTTCAGTTCTTTCAGCTTGAGAAATGCTGAGCATGTTCTTCCCTTTTGGTTTTCTATCTCCAGGTCTTTGCACATGTCACTATAATACTTTACTTTGTCTTCTCAAGCCGCCCGTTGAAATTTTAAACTAGGTGGGATTAATCATAATTAGGACGCATTTGTGTTGCCCACCCTCCAATCACATAAAGGCCCCAAGAACCAACTTCTTTTATATTAAATAATTTCTGACTTACACAAAAGTTGCAAAAAAACAACCAAAATACAAAGAATCCCTGTATACCCTTCACCCACCACTACCACTAGTTCCTGTCAAGTCAACTCCAACTCATGGTGACCCCGTATGTGTCAGAGTAGGAACTGTGCTCCATAGGGTTTCCGATGAACCATTTTCTGGAAGTAGTTGCCAGGCCTTTCTTCTGAGGCACCAACCTTACAGTTAGCAGTGGAAAACATTAATGGTTTGCACCACCAAGGGACTCCCACCCTTCACCCGGATGTCCCCAAATGTCCGCAGTTTACCATATTCACTTTTCCTTCTCTCTCTCTATAAATACCTATTATTTATTTTATGAACTGCCCCGTGCCCCTCCATACTTCAGTGAGAGTCTCCCCAGGGTGAAGGCATTCTCTTGCAGAACTACGGTGCAGCTGTAAACACCCAGGAGGTTGACATCCATGCAGCCCCACCATCTAACAGGCTCTCTGCTCTCACGCCCTCCCGACTGCTCCCTCTCACACCCTCCACCCTGGCTGCAGGTTCGCGACAAGAAGCTTCTCAATGACCTGAATGGGGCTGTGGAGGACGCCAAGACCGCCCGGCTGTTCAACATCACCAGCTCCGCCCTGGCTGCCTCCTGCATCATTCTCCTCTTCATCTTCCTGCGGTACCCACTCACTGACTACTGAGGCCCTGAGAGATGGTGGTTCCCGATCCAGGAGGCGCAGGACACAGTGAAGCTGGGACGGAGCAGGGCACCTGCTCTGGGGCCGACCCAAGGCTGTGAAGTGGGCAGAGAGGCCATCAGAAGCTAAGTCCAACGAGGGGGCAGTGAGTGTCCCCCAGCCTGCCCTCTCTGCTCCTGGCCCTCTGCCCCTGCCTGTTCCTGGGGTCCCAGTTCTGTCCCTTTTCCTTGGGTCTGTCCTCATGCTGCTGCTCCCCCACCCCAGGTTCTAATGGCTGCCCCTGCCCCCCATGCCCCTTCCCCTAGACCCCTGACACCCAGCAAGAAGGGCTTACATTGGAGCTTCCCAGTATGGGAGGCTGCCAGCATCTGGGGACTCAATCTGTCCTCCCCCACCCCTGTCTCCTCCAAGCTGTGATCCTGCTCAGAGCTCTTGTATCTGTGAACTTTCAATAAAATTCCTGCCCATCTCCTGCCCAGCCTCTGTCCCCTGCCCTGCACAGGGCATGGAGGGAAATTTGGAGCCGTGGGAGCCTTGTTCCAGCACTGTCTGGTGGGGCAGGGCCCCAGGGGTGCATCGCGGCTCACTTGGCAGAGCAGAGCTGATATCGTAGCCCTGGGGATCTTCTGACTGCTATACAAGGGGTGTCTGGGGAGGCCGCTGGGGGAGAATGTCCCAAGCATGAGTGCCTGGAGCATCTGACAGCTTCCTTGGAAGGCAGTGGAGGTGGGCAGCATGAGCCCAGCCGCCACCTGGGCTGGAAGGTAGAGCTGGCCGACCGGATTCATCCTGGACGGGGCAGGGGGAGCCTGGGGCAGTGAAGGCAGAGCTCTGGCCTGGTTTCTGCCCATCCTGGAGTGCCCTGGGAGCCTGGGGCGGCCTCCATCCCCTCCCTCAAGCCCATTCCTGATCTAAAAAATGGGGAGACGACCTTCCGAGTCCTCATAGTGCTGTGAAGATCAAGGAAGAGAAACGCCCCGTCTGGCCCTGAGCCTTGTGTGGGCACATGGTGGCAGTGCCAGCTCCGGGGAGCAGGACGAGCTCACCCCATGGAGCTCATGGTGCGGGCAGGTGGCAGCCAGGGCCTCATGGGGACACAGGTGGACAGTCCTGACTCACCTGGGATCAGGGAAGTCCGCTGAAGGATGAGCCAGAGCTAGCCAGTCAAAGAGGAGAGGCAGAGAGGGTCGGGGAGGGGAGACGGCCTGTGCCGCCCCCTGAGTGTGAGGCTTGTCTGGGAGCCAGGACATTCTGTGCAGCTCCGGTAGAATGGACTTTGTAACCCAATCAAGGCACGCAAGCTTTGCCATCCCGAGGGCTGCTGCAGCGTCGCAGGCTTTGGAGACCACAGTCTGGATCGTCACTGAGTGTGAAAAGCCGATTGTGAAGCTGGCTTCTGAAGGGGCAGGAGAGGCAGAGTCTGTAGCAAGAAGAGGCGTGGATGGAGGCCGGTGAGGGCCGGCGAGGAGGCATTTGGCAGGCGGCAAGGGGACGGAATCGCCAGAATTTGGTGAGGGACCGGACGGGGCAGTGAAGCGAGGGAGAAGCCAGGAACGACTCCTGCTCCCCCACCTCAGACATCTGGGAGGTGGACAGGTTGTGTGCTGAGATGGAAGCGGGAGGGAGAGGATGCTGAGCGCGAGACCCTCCCAGACCCCCGGGCAGTCATGAGAAGAACCTTGGCTTTGCAGGCTCTACCGGGAGCTGGGTGGCCTGAGCAGAGGGGGACCACCCAGAAGCCGGAGGACCACCCCATGATGGGAAGGCCTGAGATGCAGAGAGGCCCAAGGGGAGTGGGAGGAGGGCCAGGGGAGTGAGGGGTTGTGGGGGATGCGCTTGGAGAGAGCATGGCCAAAAGCGTCCACTGGATCTAGGGGTATGGAGGTCCTTGGTGCCTGCGTGGAAGTAATTTTGGTGGAGAGGTGTGCGTAGAAGACAGGTAAGAGGAATAAGCGGTGGGGGTGGAGGAAATGAAGTGGGTGTTAAAAGCCGCCTGTGAAGTGAGAAGAGAGGAAATAGTTGCAGAAGGGTGTTGCGTGTAGAGTGTGTATTTCAGGGGTAATGGGAGGAACCAGAAGTCCCTGGGGGGTGCAGAAGGTGAGTGGGCTCAGCTGCTAACCAAAAGGTTGGAGTCTACCCGGAGGTACGTTGGAAGAAAGGCCTGGTGATCTACTTCCGAAAACTCGACCGTTGAAAACCCCGTGGAGCCTAGTTCTACTCTGACACACATGGGGTCACCACGAGTCAGACTCAACGGCAGCTGATTCTGTGGGGTCCGAGAAGCAGACGGGAGGCAGCAGTGAAGGCAGAGACAACAGAAGTGGTGAGGAAGGAGCGAGGTTTGCGGGGAGCAGGGAGTCGATGGGTCAGGCTCAGACAGGACGGGGAAGCCCCTTCCCCTGCAGGGGACGGAGGGGTGTGGATGTGGGCAGGAGTTGGGGGATCCTCTCGGACCTCTTGTGTATTGCCCTGCGGACAGGAGGCGGGGCTGTGCTGAGAGGCACGGGGGCGGGGGGGTGTGTGTGAGATACTTGGTCACCACCCGGGACAGCGGGGACAAACGTGTGTTATTGGGGCCGTGCCGGCGGATTTGGGGTGGTGTGGAGGTCCCGCTGAGCTCGGTGGCTGTGACTTTCTAGCGGTATGTGGCTCTCTGGAGCTGCGCTCAGCTGCCTGCAGGCGTCTGTGTGGAGGAGGCTTGATAAAGGCGTCCAGGAGACGGTAAGCTGGAGGGGTGGGCCTTGGAGAAAGACGGGGAGTCTGAGCTGTCTGAGAAAGCAGAGGGGCTCAGGGGCTGGGACCTGGAGTGAGCTATGTGGGGGTGGGGGAGGGCGGTCAGGGATTTCACGGGCAGCAGTGCTGGGTGACTGTCGACCCCTGGGCCTGGAAAATGTTCCTGGGTGGTACAAGCGTTACGTGCTCACCTACCAACCTGGAGGTCGGCGGTTCTACCCCACCTATTGGTGCTGCAGAAGAAAGGCCTGGCAATCAGCTTCCATAAAGATTACAGCCTAGAGTACCCTATGGGGCAGTTCCACTCTGACACGCATGGGGTCCCCGTGAGTTGGAGTCGACAGGTCAGCAACTAACAACAGCACTAAAGGTTGGCAGTTTGGACCCACCCATCGGTGCAACAGAAGAAAGGGCTGGTGATCTGCTTTCGTAAAGATTACAGCCTAGAATACCCTGTGGGGCGGTTCTACTGTATAACACACGGGGTCGCCATGAGTCAGAATCGACTTGACGGCAACGGGCTTGGTTTTTTTGGGGAAGTCTGGGAAAGTGCTTTCAAGAGGAGAGTGTCAAGAAATGGGGTGGGGTGCCACCCACGTGGACACTGGCCCAGGGTTTGGAATGGAGAGGGAGACCTTGGGCTGGGTGTCAGAACTTGCCTTGAATGCTGGGAAAGGCCTGGTGGTTGGGACACACTGGTGACAAGGGTAAACCCATACCCATCGCCGTCAAGTCGATTCTGAGGCATAGCGACCCTACAGGAGAGAGCAGGACTGCCCCATAGGGTTTCCGAGGAGCACCTGGTGGATTCAAACTGCTGACCTTTTGGTTAGCAGCCGTAGGTCTTAACCAGTGCGCCACCAGGGCTTTGGTGACAAGGGTGGGAGAGGGGATATGCTTTGGGACGCCAGGATGCTGGCGGTGTGGACCCAGGCTCCTGCACAGGAGAGCAGGATTTCTGCGCAGGCTGGAGGGCTGGGAGTCAGGGCGGCCGGGAACAGAAGCACAGAGCCCAGGGTTGGGTGAGCAGGAAGCTGGAGGCGCTGACATTGGGGGTGGGGTGGGGGGTGGCAGGCAGACAGGCAGGGGGAGGCGGCTGCTACAAGGTTGCCAGGAGCTGCATCCTCACCGTCTTACAGCGGGGAGCTGCAGAGTTTTCCCAGTGGCCACCTCCCGAAGTCCTGGGGCCAGGAGAGGGGATGGGGGGATGGGGGATGGGGATGTCTAATGCTTACTGAGGCCTGAGGCCAGAAAAGTCATAGAACTGCCTAAGACTCCCCCTTTCAGGCCCAGGGGGACTCCCACCACCCCGAGACATCTCGGGGGCCGGGCACCCAGAGGCTTCCTGGAGGAGTCAGTGTTGGGATACAGCGAGGCCCTTGGTGGCACAAAATGTTAAGCCCTTGGCTACTAACCAAAAGATTGGAGGTTTGAGTCCACCCAGAAGCACCTCGGAAGAAAGGCCCGGCGATCTACATCTGAAAAATCAGCCATTGAAAATAAAACAAAAAAAAATATAATGGGGCGAGGCTGCTGGGCTTCAGAAGAGAGGGGCCTGGCTTCCAGCTCCCAGTGTCCAGGACAAGGGACCTGGGCAGGCCGTGCTGTCCAAGCAGCCTTTTTTTATGGCTGGGGGTGGGGGAAGCAGAGGGGAGAATGGTGTCTTTGCTCGTTTCCCTTAAAGCTCCAGTGCCCACAGTGGGGGCAGGACCGGGAGGAAAAGTTCTGGCATCAGGAAGCCCCTCCGCTTCCCTGGGGCGTGTCTGCACCTGGCCAAGGCTGTCTGGGTTGATGTCGGAAAAATGGCGCCATCACCTTCCAGCCAGGAAAGACACCCTCAGCCCTTGTGATATTGTCTCAGTTCCTGGGCAGCGTGGGACGTGGAGATTCCCCTTGGGGGCCCCCGGCTCCCACGGCATCTGGAAGCAGAGGGGCCAGCCCCGACAGTGGGGTGTCCATTGTGGGGTCCGACTGGCGTCCCCCAGCTCTCGTGCTCAGCGGGCGGTAGCTCCGCCGTCTGTCTTGGCCTCTCTGGGCTCACCGTGCCCCCCGCACCTTATTTTCACCTGGTTTTGGACGGAGCCTGGCGCGTGTTGGACGTTCAATAAATACTTGTACAAATGAAAGAGTGGATCGCCCTGCTCGCTCTCTGTCCTCTTCTCTGTGTGCGTTCCTCTGTCTCTTTTGGGGGTCGGGATCTTCTCTGTCCTCGCCCCCCCGGCGCAGTGGTTAAAGCACTCGACTGCTCACTGAAAGGTCAGCGATTCAAAACCAC